CGGTGGCTAATTTACGTTTTCAACCCAGTTGTTAACACTAAATTACCTGCATCAGTGAAATAGTCAATTATAAGTAATCAGTCCGTGTACCATTGCTGTTTTGCGTATTACCAACAAATAACGTTGGTAATGAAAGGTAATGAATTTGAACTCTGGATAGCTTCGTTAACAACATGGAACTTTATCACAATACAGAGTAACCGTTGAATGTGAATCGTTAACAAACATTGCGCAATTTTTACGAATCTCTATTAAGCGGACCCTTGGGATGGTCCCGCGAGACGTCCGATTTATAGAGGTTTCATTGCTGTATAAAGACGAGACTTATTATCAAATGCACCCTAACGCCTTTTCTGTTAAATAAACATGGATATCTCCGTTAGTATTTCACAATGTTTTCAAGTTCTTGTAATACAAAGACTTCATGGGTAAGGTTTGACACAAAACTTATCATGGGTTTCTGTCAGGAGATAGTGCTTGCGCTCTGCGAGACCGTTGTTTTCTGTTATTGTTTTTTTTCTTATCTGTTCTTCCAGCTTGGGTTGGTTCTCTGGCGTATGCATGCGGCAGTCTATTCGGACCAGTTGTAGGACTTCTTTGTGATCGATTCAACCACCGTACAGTTGGTATTGCAGGGGGTATTATCTCTACCATGGCCCTCCTTGCTACTTCGCAAGCTCCAAATCTAACTCTGATGTACTTCACGTTTGGCGTTGCGTTTGGCTTTGGAAATTGCTGTATCTTCTTTGTTGTGCTAACTATAATGCCTAAGTACTTCATTAAAAGGCGCTCGCTGGCAACAGGGCTCGTTCTTATGGGGTGTGGAGGGGGATTAATTGTAATGAGCCCAATCATTCAGGCCTTGTTGACAGTGAGCTCATGGAGAATCACATTTATTGCCATGGCAGGGATGTTGTTCGTGACTTGCATATTGTCTTGTTCATTCGACTCGAAGATTGGGGACAACGATAAGGACAGCACTGATCAAGACAAGAAGCCGAACAAGTTGTGCTCAACGTTAGATTTTTCATATCTGAGAAATAAGCAGTTTGTTATCCATCTAATTGGAAGTATCACGTGTTTTTGCGGAATCACAGTTCCTTTGGTTCACATGGTAAGTTGATGTTTTTTTTTCAGTTAATGAAAAATTAAGGCATACTTGGAGAAAAAAGCCTTTGTTTGGGACTCCAAGTGCTCTCAATGGGAGTCAAACGCGTTAAAGCCTGACAGAGCTCCATTAACCATGTTGGTAAAGATAAAATAGATATTTAGTCTTCATTACCTTATCGCACAAGCCATTTTGCTAGTAAAGCAGTACTTAACAATTGATCTCAAGCTCAGGTTACACTTGTTCTCCTACAGGCAGAGTACTGTCAAGAACGTGGAATTGACGCAAACCGCGCATCTATGATGTATTTTTGGAACGGAATAGTGACAGTTATTTTGAGGGCATTAACGGGTTCCGTGTGCGACAGGAACAAACTGTATCCAAGGCTAATTATGCAAGTGGCAGTTTTCGTTGCCGGAGCAACTACAATCTTAACCACCTTAACGCAGTCGTACACTGAACTATTGACCTGTTTTGTCGCTTACGCTGTTGCCGACGGGGCTATTGTCACTTCAATGAACATCTTGGCTTTGGCAGCACTTTCCCCAAAACAACGCTCTCAAGGATTTGGATTTTTCCATTTCTGTATTGCGTTCGCTTTAGCAGTGGGCCCCCCTTTCGGAGGTGAGTGCAAACGCTGGCCCTTGATTTCTTTTACGTTACCTTTCATACTATTTTCTAAGGTTAAGCTTCTTGGAAAACGAGCATCAATGAAAGCAGTGCCTACACGAGTCTTTTCTTCTTAACAGAAGATCTATTCATTAAAAATTATTGGAAGAGGTTGAGAAAAACATCATGATTTGCCAATGGCAAGAAAGAGAAGATAATTTATCCTCTCCTATGGTAAGTAAATAAATTATTGCCCAAGCTGGTGACTGTGGAAAACCATTCTGCGAGGCAGTTCCTTTCATCAATCCCTTATAATTTTTTTTTAGGTTTTCTTGCCGACTTCTCCGGATCATACTCTCTCACATTCTACGTAGCAGGAGCATTCCACGTGTTAGCTGGTTGTATTCTACTCTTGTCCTACTGTGTTTCAAGTCCCAGTGTCGCTCAGGAGCACTCTAAGCAACTTTCACCATACGAGCAATGTCTAATTGTTGATGTTGTAACAGTATTGTGAGATTTTGCCTATAAACCGGTTGTAGTTTTAACCACAGAGAGAAACTTTTAAGAAAAAAATTATCTTATTATATGTTATAATAAACATTCATCATTTCATTAAAGAGTACACGGTTAATATTCTATAAACTTGAAATATGGGTCTAGTCGGCTGTGAAAAAATGGTGGACGATGACTTAATCGTGACATCATAAAATGATAAAATAGCATGTTTTGCTAGTTACTAAGCTCACCCCTATACACCTTCACCCCTCTAAACCGTCCTTCAGCCAAACGGTTTATTCGTAAGGAAGCAGTCTGATGGACCATCACATCCTAATACCTTTGCCTTCAAAACTCGTGTTCCTGTCTTTTTGTGCGAGATAACGATTCTTTTCTACTAATTCTTTTCAAATTAACTCCCCACGGTTTACCATGGAAGACAGGTTAAGCCCATTTAAAATTCTCAGAGGTGTACCATCTTTTATCGTAACAGCCTTCTTTGGCAGATGTGGATCATTCTTGGAGGTGCGCATTTGCTCAGGTAGTGAAATTGATCCGAGACGGCGTCAGATTTGAATTCATGTTTTTGCCTCAGGGTACTGATTCAATTTATGAGGGGAAGGGAGCAATTACAAAAGATAAGGCTACCTCACCAAGCAGATTTTGGAAATTTGAACAGTCCTTTACCCCAAAGAAAGATTTAAGCCTCCAACAACTAAAGAGGGTTTAAATGGCCAGTTTTGTAGTATTCCAATCATATGAAAATTGGTTACCAGTTGTTTCGTACCCACGGTCGTTTCGTACCCAACTAGGTCAATTCTTACCCAATCAGTCGTTTCGTACCCATACTAATAAAGTACGTTTTCCACGTTAAGCATGTTTAAAGTAAGAATAGAATGCACGAATAAACAAGGATAAACTAATCTACGACAAAGGGAGAAAAATATCACACTATCACTAGCTATTATTGTTAAGAACGTCTCAAGTATAAACAATGGACTGTTATATCATGAATACCACGTTTACTTTGCATTAGGCAATAATTTGGTGTTTTTGTCAAGAGGATCACAAGCCGGGATACAAAACAGAATTTTTCTGATATGTTACTCACATGACTCTGTTAACTAGTCGTAAGCAACAATTGACATCTGTTCACGCGCTCGCTAGAGGTACTCCGAATGATTGTCTGTTGGCATGGGTGCGAATTGACCGGCAGTTCGGGTACGAATCAACCGGCGCTTCGGGTACGAACCCACTTGTTCTGGATACGATCGACTGGCGGTTCGGGTACGAATCGACCGGCGGTTTGGTTACGAACCGACTGGGCACGAAACAACCGTGAGTACGAAACGACTGGAAACCAATACTTTGGCTTTGATGAACATCTTCAGTTTATATCAATACTACTCTTTTTAGTCTGTTTAGTGTAGAACATTGGTACCCGATGCAAAGCCTTCCCCGACTCGTCTCAAAACTTCGGGGAGAGAGATGGGAACGGAAACGAGAAACCCGCGTCTCACAGCGCTCATGATGAGGGCCTGGTCGCGGGTTAAACGTCATCGTCTCATTGCTACTCTTAACACTCTTTGAGGAGGCTATTGGTTCGTTATAAGGTTATACCCCTTAACCAACCTAAGAGGGCG